ACATATCACTTTATCAATGGTGCAAGATTTTTACTTAACAGTGCAGTTCATGCACCATAGGTTTGCATTCTATGTATCACCTAATTTGAAAATCTATCCTCCTAAGGTTTAGTTTGGAAAAAGTACAAATATAAATTTGTACATTGCAAATTGGGTAGGATTTGATTCCAAATTCTTAAAAATGGCTTTGAATTGACCCTACCCAATCTATTATAATTTATATGGTAGGATTTGGTTCCAAAATTTTAAAACCAACCCCTACTTAGGTTGGTTCCATGGTTTAGTGATTTAGGGGTTTATCCTACCTAAACCTATTTGATGAACCAGCCTAGAAATCGAACTTGCTTTGGAATAAACCCCAAAATTCTTTTGAGGATATGACTATTTAAACCCAAGCAGTCATGGCTACAAATGCCATGGCCTCATTTGATAATTGAGTTACTTAAGTGATTTCATCATTTGTTTTCATTTTAATATTTGAATGTGTATAAATAAGTATTGTAAAAGGTAATATTTTCAGACTTTAAATTATAATGATAAGTTTTAAACCATATAGGGTTGCAAACAAATAGGACCCGATCTGATCCAAATCCAATTCGATAAGAGCTGAATTTGGATACCTCTCTTGATCCTAACAAATCAGATCATATCAGAAAGTCGATCAATTTAGTTAACGGATCGAATTCAGATATACCTAAATCCGGTCCAACATGACCTGATCCAATTTGTTAGTTATAAAGTATTATATTATATATTATAATATATTATTATATTATATAAATAATATAATATATTATTTATATTATATCATAAATTTTTTTATAACAAAGCTAACTGAATTAGATTCGAATTGGATATCCAATAAGATATTTGAATTTGAACTTGAATCATACTCTTGAAAATCCAACGAATTCTTATTGAATTTAGATCGGTCGAATTTCTTATCAGATCGGATCAGATATACCATTTACCAAATCCAATTTGCTCCATTTACAGCCCTAAAACCATATATTAATATATTATGATAATCTACATATTAAATTACTTAATTCAATCAATAAAGACTATATAAATTTTAAAGTTTAAACTATATATTATAGTTATTGAAAATCAAGTTTTTAAAGAACATGCGGTTTTTTTAAAGAAAAGAGTAAAGAAATAATAGGTTGCATGGGTAGATCTYGGAACTGATCCCAGAACTGCCAAGGCTAGAATCRACTCTGGAACCTTCACAAAGTAGGATTTGATTCCAAAACCTTGAATTGACTATGGTCAACCTTAGTGCGAATATAGATTTAGAATTACAAAATACAAGGCTTTACTATGTACATATTTGTATTTATGCTCTTACCAAACTAAGCCTAAGGTCCAAATAAAGATCAAGGTTCAAAGATGTAGGTATTCTSTAGCATTTCACATAACGCCTATACCGAAAATAATATACATATTTATACTTTAAACCTTACTCTAGATTGAAGCGATGGTTTTCATTGGCTGAATCCATTTTAAAATGCTTCCATTTCCAAAAATGTAATGKTACATGAACAATAAGATCAGAGAGCTTTTAACCTTAATCATCTGATTTTCTCTATCCATGATATAATCTGTGGGTTTAGAATTGGGTAAATTACAGATTACTATTTTATACTTTGGGGTGGAAATTATCCCCTGAACTTTTATTTACAATAAAGACACCTCTTATCAGCATTCCATCAGTTAACTTTGAAGTTTAAGCTTTTCTAAATCCTCAAATTATCTTTTTTCTAAGAATTTTCTAAAACAAGTGTTGGGGTTCATTTAAGCAATTTTCTTTTTCAATTTCCATTTCTTATTAGTTTAGTTGAACGTTTTGTTTTTCTTTTTATTTTGCAATTCCAGAAGTTTTTTTGATTTTTTGGTTGCAATTTTCATTTAATAGGAAATTCTTGGGTGGGTGGATATTTTGGTAAATGAATTTCTTTCCTCGCGGGTCTTTCTTAAAAACTAAAAATCCAGTGTCTTTTAGCGAAAATGAAAGTTCAGGGGAGTAATTTCCATTACCCCAAAGTAAAGGATAGTAATATGTAACTTGACTCTGGATCTGCTCCTCGCAAAGCAGCGCATTTCACACGGACCTCATAGTCATATTTCACTGTGTGTTGGAAATATTTCCTCCTGAATAATAATATATAAGGTTCAAAATATCGATATGTATCAGTTCATACAGGCTGATATGGGCTGACATGTATCATTCTGGGACCCTTTCAATACACCCCTACAATGCGTGTATCGGGAGTCTGACCGGTTCAAGGAATGGAAGGGCTGAACCAGTTTTAAAAAAAAATAAAAAAAAATAAAAAAACAATTATTGAAATACCCGATACACCCCTACCGGTATAACGAGCTTATCGATATTTTGAACCTTAATAACATATAAATACGAAAACTGTTCTATACATGGGGAGATGTGCAAGTCGGTGAGTAGCAGATCCGGAGTCCGGACTCATGTAACGTACCTTAATAACCCTCTAATCTACCTTCATTTTACAATGATATTGATTTGCTCGGAGCAACACTTTGTCCCACAAGCCAGGTGGCATCAGGTCCGATGGGCCCTAGACCCACTAATGGTGGGCAGGATGCCACATCAAATAGCACACATGGCGCCTTGCATCGACACATTTTATGGTGCATTAGAAACATCTCTTGTATTTGAGTATTATTATTTATAGAAAATGTTTCGAATGAACAGTGGAATGTATCTGTGAGGCGCCTGTGTGAAGAACAGATCCCAATTCCATCAAATAATATATGGCATGGACAAAGGAAAAGACAACTTCAACTTTGAAAGAAAGCGTGCACATCCAAGTTTGAATCGTCTACGGTTCTACTCGTGTAATATTGGGCTAAATCACATGCCCCACATCTGCTCCTCTCTACAAATGGGGCCTACATATCAGGTTATGGTTATCAAAATCGGACTAGACCGAAAAAATTGGAAATCGGTCAGATTTATTTTTCTCCAAAACTGGATTTTTRCTAAAAAACGTTGATTTGATCAACAAACAATTGAYCCAGGCAGTTGAACCGTTTAAACCATTCAACCCAGGAACCGGACCCCTGACCGGTTCATTATCTGAGTCAATTTTAAAAACCATGTATTAGGCTGACATGCTGTATCATGATTGGCCTAGTATGGACCCTCCAGTTTCCGTGAGTCACCAACTTCCTGCCATCTTACAGTAAGAGTAATAAACATTACAATGTAAAATTCCATATATGGCACAGCCCCAGCTTCCCTATTCCTACTGGTATTAGAGTTTCCTTTCTTTGGTTTTGTACTTTTTATAAGCATCTATTTTTGTTTTCTCACAAAGAAAAAACATCTGATTTTTCTATTTGTATAAAAAAAGTATCTGATTTTTCTTGGATCCTGTCAGTATGTTTTTTAATCAATCTGTGCTTGTAAAACCAAGTAGTCMWTGGGCAATGACCAAGTGGCTAGAGCCCATTTTTCACTAAATAAAAAGATTATCCTAGAACCCATTTGATTTTCAAGTCTTCCTAATGCATGGCCCACCAAGAAAAAATAGTTCTCTTCCTAACTAGACAACACTCAAGCTCCGTTTGATTTTTGGGATGGGATGGGAAAATATAGAATATTTTGAAATATTCTTTCCTTCTCATGTTTGGTCTGTTGGATGTCACCAGATGGGATGGAAAAATTGTGGGATTATGGAGGGGGAAGCTTGTTTAACAATAAAAATCACATACCTTGTAGTATTTCTAAGAGTTAATATTAGACCCGTGATCTATTAATAAATTATTGATTATTTAAAAATATAAATTAATAAAAATTAAAATATTATAATTAATAAATAATATAAAATTAATAATTGATTATAAAATACTAAAACATAATAGTATTATTAATTAATTAACAATTAACAAAAAATAGTTAATAATTAATTAATTAACAAAATAATGAAATAACTATTTTGTTATTAATAATTTAATTAAAACAAAATTAAATAAAATAATTAATCAATGAAAAATTATTCATAATTAATATTAAATTAGTAAAATTATTAATTAAAGCATAGATATTAATAAAACAAAATATTAATAATTAAATATCAACTAATAAAGAATAAAATATTAATTTTAAATAATTTGATCATAAAGTACTAAATAACAAAAAAGTTAATAATTAATTAACTAAGTAATTAATGAGTAAATAAATAATAATAATGTTAAATAATTAAAACAATTAATAATTAATTATAAAATTAATCAATAAAATATTAATAATTAACAGTAAATATAAAATAATAAAAATATTCCAAAATACCTAATTAATTAATTAATAGTTATTAGGGTTGATTTTCCCACTATTTTCCTTTTTTCACTTTTGCAACCTTACAATGGAACATGGAAAATTTCCACCCATTTTCCCTTTCTCATCTCATCGCATCCCATCCTTTCCCATCCCGCCAAAATCTTCCCTTAAACCAAATGCAGCTTCAACATATTTGATTTGGAGGAAAGAAGGAAGTGAATACTTCAGAGTTTAATTTACAAAAAATTGAGCAAATTAAAAAGCACATAATGCCAGAGAAAATGACAGTATTTTATGAAGAAAACTAGAAAGAATATTATTATTTTCTCGAGATGAATGAAATCCCTCAGACCCTAATTACATTTCCCAAATAAAAAGGAAGAAGACTAATGTGAAAAGATATTCCTCTCATGGCCAATGTGGCATTGACATTTCTATTTGTTTCTGAATTCTTATAACCAAGCCATCAAATAAAAGGAAACCCAACACCGGAAGACAACTGAAGACTTGTAAACTCTCATCCCTTTTAACCCAAACCCTCAGTCTCAGTTTGGAAGGAGTACAAATTCAAATATGTAGAGTGCAAAACCTTATGTTTTGTATTATTTTATATGTAYTAGCACTGTAGATATTTGCATTTGTACTCTTTCCAAACTGAGCCTCAAGAATTACATAAAAAGAATGAAAAACCCAATTCAAGATCAATATGGGGAGCACTGTAAAYGCAAAAAGAACAGTGTCCATCTCTCCCTGTAAATTACAAGTGAGAAAACCCAATAAGAAAAACATAAAAGCAAAAGAAAAAGAAGGAAAACCCCTCAACTCAAGATATGCTCTGTACTTGGTATCACAGAATTCCTCTCCCCTCCCTTTCCAGAGTTCTCTTTGAGAACCCACCAAACCCTCAAGCTTCTATCAAGACCTCCACTGTATACCAAAAACCCACCTTCAGTACCACCAGTTGAGGCCTGTAAGCACTTGATTGGTCCTTCATGTCCACTCAAAACTCCAAAACTTGAAAGCCAACCACCAGCCTCTCTCTTCCATATACCTATGCTCTTATCAGCTGAACCACTGCAAACAAACTCCCCAATGGAACACAAGCACAGAACAGCCATCCTATGAGCTTTTAGCTCACAAACCAACTTCCAACTACCACCATCCTCATCTCTCTCCCACCCCATCACACACCCATCTGATCCACCTCCATACACCATCCTTCCATCCTCACACACGATCACTGAATTCAAAGCTACACCCTTGTGTCCCTCCAATACTCCTTTCAGACAATGTGATGAGCTCTTGGCATCCTTGCACCAGACCTTGATCTTTCCATCAGCAGCAGCCGAGTACACTAATCCCTTGTCTGCAACCAACCCATTAATTGCATCGTCGTGGGCTCTTATGGACTCCAAGCACTTGAGGTCCGAGACCCTCCACACCTTCAGGGTCTTGTCCCAAGATCCTGAATAGATCAAGCCATTGTCGATTGCTAAACAAGAAATACTATCAGCATGCTCAATCCATAAACGTCTGTGGTGTCTCCTAGTTTGGACATAATTGCTCTGCTTCATGAATCTGCCCAAGTAGTCCTTCGTAGTTGGCAATGTTGCAACAAGCTTGAAAATATTCTCTGAGCTTCTTGAGACCTTCCAGACTCTGATCCTGCTATCCTGATGCGCCGTGAATACTTTGTTGCCGCCGGCCACGAGRGCCTTAACAGACCCATCACCTTGTCCAAACTTGGCAAATTGCTTCAGCTGGGGCTGTTGCCACACTATGATGTCCTTACTTTGTGAGGCGCTTAGGATGAACTCACCACAGAGACCCAGACAAGAAACTGATCCAGTGTGCCCAGATAGGACGGCCAAAGGTCGATATGATCCGCAGATGGGGATGCTGTGGAATTGAAAATTAACATCCTCCAATGCGAATCGATGTGAAGTGTGGCGACTATCATCAGAATTATCACTACTGCTGCTGCTGCTTGTGGTTTGTGGGAGTAGTGGGTTAGAAAGAGTCGTGTCTGTTACAGGGAAATCTGTTAGAGGTACCATCATTTTGTTTATTGATTGAAGGAGAGCATGAGAAGAGATGACAATTAATGAATCGCTCACTCCGAGCTGCGTTTATAGAGTTGGGGACAGAAAGTACAGAAACATGAGAACACGGAATGCTTGTGGAGATGGTTTTTGTATTTTTTAAATAATTTCGCTTTTTTGGAGGGGCGGTACAACGGCTACTTAGAGAAAAAACTAAGGGGACTCTAAACGAAAAGCAGGTCATCTGAGGGGTCACCTGCTTTTTGGCTTTGGGTGGAAAATTAGGCTGTTAAAGGGGATACTTGGCCAAAGAGGCAAAGACATTTTTGTTGCCCAACCAACTCGCCTTGATGAACTTTGTTATATCTCCTTTACAATTCGGTTGGTCCCACTACTACCCAATCTTTCCAGGTGTCAATCCATTTGGGTGGGTTTTGGATAGCGTGTAATTTCCGTGGATCAATTGGTCTCAAAGAAAGTTACAGATATTGGAGGGATTGTGGTGTCTTTTTATACGACCATTGGCATCTATTTATCTATCTATCTATCCCTATATTTATATACTATACAGTGTCAATAAAATTAATACCTGTATCTTTTCCCTTTTCCCTTTTTTCTTCTTTATAYATATATATAGCATACAAGATATTGTATAATTTTATTCATTGAAAATTTAACAAATTCTTAACCCAATATGACCAACATTCCTGTTCACTGTGAAATCTTATGGATTCAACCACAAAACAGTGGATTGTTGATGACATCATATCTACAATTTTACTCATTGTGGTGTGGTCCAAACACTCATTTTTTTTATTCAGTTTGGAAGCGTACCACATAAGAATGTAACAGAATGCCTCATGGGATGTGGTGTGGAGTCCAGTGGTTGAAAGAGATCACACTACTGAATACCCCCTTAGATGCCGAACCACTAGTTGAAACTGGATTTTAGGCAGGAATTCAGCAGGTTCAAGTTTCAAAGCTAAGGCATCAAATATATATTTGCGAATTTGATGTTGTTTGATCTGATTTTTTCTAAGATTCCATTTAAATGTATAACTCTATAATAAATTAGCAAGGACTCCGTTCGATGCATAGGATTTGTGAAGGAAAAGTGAAACAATGGAAACTGATAATTATTATGAGGAAGAAATACAATGTTGTTTAAAATATCAATCTTTATTTTAGTAATTTGTTACAAAAATTATTTAGTTATTTAGTAATTTAGATTAATTATACTAATGATTTTAACAAAAATATAATAAATTACTGTTAATTACTTAATTACTTAAATATTAGTAAATATATAAAGTTAGGTTATAATCATAATTAAATTAATTTAAGCCCAAGCTCCAAGTTTAACACTTTGAGTTAGGGTTTGATTGATCCTCAACCTGAGCCAACCCCCTAAGTTGCACCGTAATAATAGCAATTTGACATTCTTAATTAGATAGAACCAAACTGAGCACAATCTATGCATGCATTATTTTTGGATAAAAATTATTTATATTGAACCTGAAGGAGCTGTGGGGAATGGGTTACCCCCATTATGTAGCCTAATGAAGCAAAAACATAAAAGATCTTGGGCTTGATTTTGATAGTTCATTAACAATTTTTAGGTTGTCTAGCCCAACCTGGTCCACACCCCAAGCATAATAATATTTGTATGGACTTRGGATAGGGACAGGCTTGCCTATGTTAATTATAACTATGAACTTTTATAAATTAAACTTTGTATTTAATTTTAATTTATTATAAAAATATATAAAAATTTTGATCTATATATTAACATAAAATTTATTATCTAATATATATATGTTATAGCTTCCAGGTTGAGCTTAGGGGTTAGTTTGGGCCTTACTTTCTAGGGCTATTAATGGACTCCAAAACCCCAATAG